GGGGGGGGGGTTTACGAATGGGCCTTGCCAACCTCCCCGGATGGAACCATCGCATCTTTCTTTGATATCTTTTAAACCAAAGATGAGCTTCAAATCTACTCATTTCAGCAAATTCCTAGTAATTATTCAACAATGTCCACCAGACAATCCAAGCCAAAACAAGCATGCGACAACTGTCGCCGCCGCAAAATAAAATGTTCCTGTCAACTCCCATGCGACAAATGCCAACGGCTACTTCTTTCCTGCTCCTACAGCGATGTCCTACGTCGCAAGGGCCCCAAATATCGCATCCTGTACCCCCTACCCTCTATCACCCTCTCTCATCCCGAAAAGATCCTCCCGAGCATGTATATCCCGAGGACGCTGGCACCGGCGAGATTCCGGACTACCACTTCAACTCGCCCATATCGCCTGATTTTATACTCACAGACTCGCAGTCTGCAGGCCAGGACTTTTCGGATACGTTTCTCCATCTGCCGCTCCCAGAACTCGTCTTGACTCCAGGCTCCACGGACTCAGCAATCGAACCCGCAGTTGGTTATAGCCATGGATATGCAAGACCGGCGGCCCGCCGCCTCTCGCCACAGATTCTTCTATTCTATGTCAATGTCTACCTCAAATACTTGTTCCCCGTCATGCCGGTGGTCAGTGCGGATCAGCTCCGGCTGGATTGCAACCAGCCTGGGCAGCTGTCTGCGCAGCGGTATGCGCTTTTGGCGTCCCTGTGTGCCGCGACACATATCCAGTTGAAGCTGGACGGGGCCACACCTGTGCCAGATCCTGCCCGTTTGCAGAGTATGCGTATTGGGGATGGGCACTCGTTGATGCCTGGGGAAGAGCTTCTTTCGGAGGCCGTGCGGGCGCGGCTAGATTGTGATGTTTTGGAAGAACTTAGCACAAAGGCACTTTTGACGTCGTTCTTTTTGTTTACCTCGTATGGGAATCTTGATTGTCAGAATCATGCCTGGTTCTATTTGTGCCAGGCTACCTCGTTTGCATTTACCCTTGGGTTGCATCGCGAGTCGGCGTATGCAGAGTATGAGGCCGAAGAAGCGGAGGAAAGGCGGCGTGTGTTCTGGCTCTTGTTTACCACAGAGAGGTGAGTCGGCCGATAGTGAAGGATCAACGACATCTTGAACTGGGGCTCATTTTTGAATTGGTAGAGGTTATGCTCTCCAGAAAGCGAAACCGGTTATGCTACGCAGCTCTATTCACAAGCCTCGGGTCCTTTGCTCCAAAGATCCTATCCTGGCTTATGGATTCACCAATCTGATCAACGTCTTTGAGAATCTCACCCCGTGCCTTTACGATTGGATTTCCGCCGGTGCCGGAGATGGCATCTTGGAGAAGCCGCCAATTTCTGAAATCCAATCCAGCCTTTGCAAGGCTATTTCTCTGGAAGGAGTTCTTGAGATCCAGCGGGTTGACATCTTGATCACGCAACAGTGGCTGCAGACGATGATGTGGAAATTGTCTATGAGCCATGCCACGCAGCCTGGTTCGCGTAATGACCCAGTTTTGCCATTTCACCTGCCAGTAATGGTGGGTAAATCCGTGATGAGCGTGCTTGGAGCTGCATCGCGAGGGGCTATTGACGCACATGGGATTGTAATGGTAGGTTCGTCCGAAATGAAGTTGTTTGTTTGCAAACTGATATGGACGCTATAGGAGCAAAAGCTCTTTGATATAGGATCATCTGTCGCTGATGTGACAAGATCGCTTGGACCAAAAGCTGTCCATAGACTGACTGAGTCAACTATTGACCCAAACGAGTTGCTGTGGGGTATGCTTCACACGCTTTCTCAGATTCGTGGCTCGCCCTCGTATCTCTTCCCTGCACTACTGGATCGTTGCAGAAATGTGCTTGGGCTCGACTGCAAAATCACCACGGGGAATTTTCTTCCTATGCTCGGTGCTGCTGTGCCGGATAAGTTGGCTTCACGGTCTGGCCAGCGCATCTGGGATTACGCTGCCGGTGCCGAAAACATTGAGATACATGATCTCGATAGCCAAACTGAGTCGTTTCCTCATCCGCATGTGCTGCAGGAACTGGGCTTTGAAGGCCGTCTTTTTGGATGACTGGCATCTTTACCAACTGTGTTGAATTTGTGATGCTGGCGTTTCATTTTGCCATACCAAATGGGGGTTTGATTATGATACTGATGTACGACGGAATAGTAGAATACTATCAAGGCCTCAATGCATCAAATTCGTGGCCATTGTAGTCGAGACAAATCAGTGGAGAGGGAAAGCTCATACGCTCGTGATCGTGTACGGCAGTCAAATTGTCTTGGCATGTTTGTCTCGGCATCGAATCTCTAATTTGGTGATCGGCTTCATGCGACATTCCAAGGCTCTCTTCTCAATTGCTCAGGATATCCTTTATTTGGTATGCTCTCTATTGCTTTGAGTCACTATTGAAATCCCCAACTAACAGGTCATCGCAGATAATCCTCGGGTCTCCGCGACAACTAAAGCTCAACAGAGCGTCAAAACCCCGGAGCCAATTCTCCATTGAACCTCAAATCTCGCCTACAACCAAGACCATTACTTCCACAATGGCCTCCCTCCGACCCAGTAACCTCTCACTCTCAGTCCGGACCCTCCGCTCAACTCTCTGCTCAGTAAGGCCCTCACCACGCTACTCCTTCTCCGTATTCACCCCATCAACCCAAACACATCCAACTCGCACGCACTCAACATCCTCCGTCTCCGCCGATGAGCTCTCCCACTTCTCCGGCCTCGCCAGCTCCTGGTGGGACCCAATGGGCCCCTCCCGAATCCTGCACCTAATGAACCCCCTCCGCCACGAATTCATCGCCTCCTGCCTAGCAGAAGGAACCCCAAACACAATTCCATCCACGCCTTCCACCGCAACCCTCAACTACCTCGACGTAGGCTGCGGCGGCGGCATCTTCGCCGAGTCGCTCGCACGCACAATCCCCATCGACCCAACCGGCCCAGCCCCAACCCCAACTCTCGCTGCTTCAATGACCGCAATCGACCCCTCAACAGACCTAATCCAAATGGCCCGTGAGCACGCACGCATGGATCCCACCGTCGACACGCACCTGCGTACAGGCCGTTTCAAGTACCTTAATACGACGCTGGAGGATGTACTTGCCGGTAACGCGGTCGCTTCCTCTCTCGGTTCAACCCAAACCCCGAATTCCAACTCTGCCTCAACTCAACTTACTCCCCCACAATTCGACGTCGTAACCCTCTTCGAAGTCCTCGAACACATCGACCCGAAAACCTCAACGCCGCTTAGCTTCCTGACAAACTGTCTCCGCGCGCTCAAGCCCGGTGGTTGGCTGATTGGATCTACTATTTCGCGGACGCTGCCGTCGTTTATCCTGAACCAGGTTATCGCCGAAGCGCCGTGGCCGATTGGTGTTGTGCCCCGCGGGACGCATGAGTGGAGTAAGTTTGTTAACCCGGATGAGGTTAAGGGATGGTTGCAGGAGGGGTTGATGATGGCTGCCGATACGGTTGTTTCGAGGGGCGGGGGTGCGGTTGCGGAGGGGATGAGGTGGAAGTGTGTGGGTACTATTTATGTTCCTGGGATTGGGTGGAAGATGGTACCTGGGAGTGAGGATTGGGGGAATTATTTCTGGGCTGTTAGGAAAGAGGTTTAGATGATCCCGAGGGAGGTAAATGTATGTATCTACACTTGCATTGTTTTGAGCTATTTGTATATTATTTGACTGTTGTACTCATTGCATATCGATATTTCATATATTCCCATTCATTGACTCGTTTCCGATGTACTCAGTAAACATCGCTAAATCCACATAACAACCCCCCAAACAACCCCAAACAACCCCAAACCGTTGACTCCCAACCCGAGCAAAGGTAAACGCAAAAGCCTCCCGCAGTCCAAAGCTACTTCTTCCCTTTCCCCTTCCTCTTCTTCTTCGAAGCAGCCGGGGGCTCGGGTACAGAGACAGTCCCCTGTTCAACCTCCTCACCCTGTCCTTGCAACCGCTGCGTACCACTGATGAAAAACGTCAAGTCGCGATTCTGTTCTGCCAGATCCGCATTCGCAACCTTAAGCCCATCAACCTCTTTAGCAAGGCTTTCCAACCGTAACAACATATTCCGATTCATAGCCTTCTCTTCCTGAAACCCCTTCTCAAACGAGCGCGCCAGGGCCTCGAATTTCTCCGCTTTTCTCTCCGCGCGTGCACGATCGTGTTCAAGCGAAGGCAGCGTCTCAAGCGTCACACCATCATACTTCGTCTGTAATTCTTCCAGGCACGACGAGGCGCTGGAAGCGTTCACTTCCGCCACGGCGGCCGCGGCACTAGCCTGCGATGCTTTATCGACGGCGCGCTCGACGACTTCCTCGAAGTACGCACGCTGGCTTTCGAGCTGGCTGGTGAGGAGGTGTGTGTATTCGATACTCATGTTTTCTAGTTTCTCACGAGGCACGGCATCGCCCCAGTCTGGTGGGTCGAGAGCGCTATGGTCTGCTGCGGGCAGCTCGAGAAGCTTGCCGTCTGTTTTGTTTTGGATGATGCGGTGGACGTAGGCGTCGCCTACGTAGTCCCATACGCGCTGAGATGTGAGATCCATAGAGAAGGCGTGGGCTGTTTCTTTCCAGTGGGCGAAGGCGTGGGCGTTGTCGTAGCGGCCGCAGCCGACTTTGCCGCAGATGAGACAGGCCCAGAGGTTTTCTTCTGAGTGGCAGATGCTACATTCTTGGGGTTCTTCGTCTGGTTTGAGGGCTGCGTTGCTTTTGCGGTAGTCATCTTGTGTGTATCGGCATACGGGGCAGCCACTGCCTTTCCATTTTTGAAGACAGGTGCAGTGGAAGACGTGTTGACAGTTTATTGTTAAGAGCCCCGTGGTTTCGTCCATTCGCTCTAGGCAGACGGGACAAGTTGGCAATTCAATTAGTGCAGGAGTAGGTGGTGCAAGGGGTTTGCCGGTAAGAGTCGCTTGTCCGGTAGAGGATACCGGGGGTCGAGAAGGGACCGAGAGGTTAGAGGAGAGAGCAGATGGTGTTCCAGAATCCACGACTTGGATTTCAACCGTCTTCACAAAAACCACATGGCAGGTCTCAGGCTCGATACTATTAAATACGTGCCCATTCCATTCCTTCTGCCATTCTTTCGCCTTCCGCCCACTCCGGAACTTCATCAAAACCATATACCGATTCGCACGTGCAGTTCTAATCATCCGGAAATGGCTGACATCATCCATAGTTTGTTGTCCCATGAACCCCAAAAAGTCCGGCGGCGACAGATAAGATGGCACTGCGAGAATGCATAGAGTCGTACAATCCTCAGCAGGACTTTGCGCAGAAGAAGAATTTGTTTCAGGAAAAGGATATTCCGCTAGACCCATCGCCCCAGATTGTTTAGCACTCGCTGTACCGACCGGACCCTGCCTCAATTTGGCCTGCTGCTCACCAGGCTGGCGGGCCGCAGCTGAGGAGCCCTTCAGGTAGGCGGGGTATTCGTCATCATTTCCGAGGTAGGGCGTCTCCTGCGAGTCGCGGTACAGATGTACAATTCCCCAGATGCTGTCAGCAAGCGCGTAATCGAGTGGAATATATCGGCCTTTTGTGCGGAGGCCGCCTAGAATGTCGGTGCCGATCCCTGCGGCGACTAGGTTTTCTGGCTCGATGGAGGGTACGGAGCCGCGCTTTGAGCTGCGTTTGTGTGGGTGCTTTGGGGAGACCATATCAACGCACTCGATGAAAATGGCGCCGAAGCGCTTCTCGTCTTCGAGTGGGGTGGTGCTAGTTGAGTGTTTAGTAGAGGACGTCTTGGAGTCGTAAAAAATGTTCGCGGAGGGAGTGGTTCGAGGTGGGGTAGGCGCGCCGTGTGTGGAGAGGGTGGAGATGAGTTTGTAGCGATGCGCAAAAGTCTGGTCTGGGTTTGGCGGGGTTTGATTGTTTCCTTCGGGTGATGGGCGGCTGGAGGTTGCAGGCCGGCTTCGTTCCTGGAATGGTTTGAGAGCTTCCCGTGCGGATTGTAGCGCGAGAGAGGATGACCCTTGCGAACTTGCCGCATCGGATAGATTTTGGGAGAGAAGTTGCAAGCTAAGGTGATAGAAGTAGGCGGGCATCCCGGATGATGGCTCGCATCCTCTGGAGCTTGCGACTTGTGGTTGGAACTGTCCAAAGAGGAAGTGCTGTTATCACCATAAGGGTGGATGATTACTTAATATTGTCATGTCGCCCGCTTCTGCGCCTTACGCCACAAGTGGTTCCTGGCACGCGAGTGGCAAAGAGGCCAAAAAAAGAGACAGAAATTCTGTAGAGCATTCTGGCTGAGAGGTGGCGAGACTTGGTATGGTTGAACATTATTGCCTAGATGATGGGTGTGATGCTGGTGGGATCTGCGGTCGGTGATTTTCATGGACTACGTCAATTTAAAACTATTCACCTCCAAGTTGAAATTGTAAAATAGCATGCTGGTTTAAGACCAGCAAAACTTGCTAGAGTGAATTGTAGAACTGTCTATCACATATTGATGAGGATATGTGGGCAAAGTAAAAGAGAGTAGCCGTCCTCAAGGAAGCACGTTGCGAAAAAAAAGAGGCCTCAGCCTCGAAAACCGACCAAACGCCATGCAGGTCATTTAAAACTTATCAAAGGTGAAAAAACTTATCATCAGTCAATTACTGGCCACCACGCAGACGCAGCACCAGGTGGAGGGTGGATTCCTTTTGAATATTGTAGTCCGAGAGAGTACGTCCATCCTCCAGCTGCTTACCCGCGAAGATAAGACGCTGCTGGTCGGGAGGGATACCCTCCTTGTCTTGGATCTTGCTTTTGACGTTGTCGATGGTGTCTGAGCTCTCAACCTCGAGCGTGATTGTCTTTCCAGTCAAAGTCTTAACGAAGATTTGCATACCACCACGTAGACGGAGGACAAGGTGGAGAGTCGACTCTTTCTGGATATTGTAATCGGAGAGTGTGCGACCATCCTCCAGCTGCTTGCCGGCGAAGATCAAACGCTGCTGGTCAGGGGGAATGCCCTCCTTGTCTTGGATCTTGGATTTCACGTTGTCGATGGTGTCAGAGGACTCGACCTCAAGAGTGATAGTCTTTCCGGTCAGAGTCTTCACGACTGTGGCAAAAAGTTAGTAAAAAAAACGCAACATAGGCGTGAGAAGAAAACACGTACAAATCTGCATACCGCCACGGAGGCGAAGGACTAGGTGGAGAGTCGACTCTTTCTGGATATTATAATCGGAGAGTGTGCGACCATCTTCAAGCTGCTTGCCGGCGAAGATCAAACGCTGCTGGTCAGGAGGGATGCCCTCCTTGTCCTGAATCTTTGACTTGACATTGTCGATAGTATCGCTGGACTCAACCTCAAGGGTGATGGTCTTGCCGGTGACTAGAGACAAAGGAATGTTAGCAAGGATGTCCATGGACTGGTTAGTAAGAGAGGGAAGGATCCAGGCGGTCATCTCTCGAGGACGCCTGGAGGCCGGATGAGGGTCACGTACGAGTCTTGACAAAGATCTGCATAATGGGCTCTGATAGTTGTAGGTTAATACGAAAGAAGTTAAGGGTGAAGCGACCTGTGGAGAGTGAAAGAAGGGAAAAGGCAGAAGAGGGGAAACTGCGTCCTTATGTAGGAAACCTTGGAAGCATGAGGGGGCGAGGCGTCTTAGTCAGGTCCCCGTGACGGCGTGAAAAGACCAGAAGATGCCGGATGAGTCAAACAGGGGGTGCCTGAGAACAGCCCATCACTTCATTTGACGCCACCTGGACTCCGAAGCCTCTAATTGGACATGACCACTAGGGCTACAAATAGGCTATTAACATGAAGATTCTATGATTTTCCACATGGTATAGGTCTCTCATATCCTCCCTAAATCCCTCAAGTTCCTCTGTCCAAAATCCCCAAGTGATGACGTTGACTTGCTTATCGCCAAAAGAGGGGGTGGGCCTTTTGATGGAGACGCTAGTGATCGGAAAGTAGAGGGGCGGTACGCGGCAACTGCTGCGGTCTCCCGGGTACTCTGTATCCGCTCAAACTTAACCCGGATCCGGCTTCACCGGTCTTTTACTCCGTCTTTTTATAGATCAACAAGAAGAGATGTATTCATAGAGTTAAAAACTAGATATGGAGGAGCCATTGACAACGTATAAACAAAACACTCCCGCAATTATCCTTCCGACGCCGTTTGCCCCCACCACAGAGAATGTGACAGCTCGGGGATAAGACAGCCTGCACCCTTTCTCAGGGCCTTGTTTTAACTTGAATTGTTGGCCTGTTCCATTATGGGTGCCAGATGCCACAAAAATGAAAACAAAACTTTAGAAACACCTTCGGCCGTACACGGTCATGACATTCGTGGTCCTCGTTCATCGCTGGGGACAAAGCTATGCGAAGAAAGGCATGCACTAAAGACAAGAGCAAAAAAAAAATTAACACAAGAGATTTCAAAAAGCCAATGATCAAGGAAAATGAGAAGGTAAATAGGACAAACGGCAAGAACCAAAAAAAAAGAAAGAAAGAAAAGGAAACACAGCTGATAAAGAGCTAGATCAAAAGAAAGGCGGTTCGCTCGGAGCAACAATACAAAAAAAGGCAATCGCTGGGAGGGAGGCCCGTCGGATTCTTCGTTAAGGAGCGGAAATAGATGCGCTCGCACATCGTCACGACAATTGTTCACATATTCTCAGTGGTAAATTTTGACATTGGAAACGAAATCGCGGAACTGTACTCGCTACTGGGAACGATGGTCGTGGGAAATATCATCATCATAACGCGTTTGCGCATCGGGGTCGTGGTCTAGTTAGCACGAATGACCAGTCGCGACACAAATTTATTTGAAAGGCAGTCGAAGTCACCACGGTTGAATTTTGTGGCGGTTCGGCTGCGGAGGTAGGTTTCTGCGAGAGGGGATTAGTTTTGGAAAGGAAAGCGAACAGGTTGGAAAGAGTGTGTCTCTTACCATGTTGCTCCACATGTTGGCGGACTTCAGTCATGGTATTGCAAACATCCGGGTTGGAGTACAACAGCTGGTGGTGCTTTTGCGAGTCCCACTCGGTGAACGGGGGCAGTTTCTGGGAGATGGCCTGAAACAGTCCGACAATAACGCCTACCGGGGTAGTTTCCATATCGGTGCAGAACTTGTCGACGGCAGCCGGGTCTGGTGTCCGGTAGTGACTGTCGAACTGCATCTCCTCCCACACGGCCAGCAGAATGGAGGCCAAGATGAAGATTGTTGGCCAGTTCTTCAGCTTGTCGCCGCTGTACACACTCGAGTAAAGTGCCGACAGCTCCTCCAGCACATCCTTCTGCAGCTCGCGCCACATGCTAGCCATGGCACACTTAATCTGGAAGTTGATCATGACAGGGGCCATTGTCCTGCCGGCGAACTTGGAGCCCATGGAGTCGATCTTGCCGAGGAAGCCTTCCTCCTCCCCAATACCTTCAACCATCGTGACATGCATGGTAAGGTTGTAAGCAACCACCAGCTTGAGTGCCTTTCGGATAACGGGCATCTTGGTGCGGAAGTAGAACCGGAAGGCGGTCTTCAGCATTTGTGTCAAGAACGGAGTGCCCTCGAAATAATCGTCCACAAACTTCTCAAAGGTGCCATTGCCGTCGATGTGGCGGTCAAGGTAATCCGACAGCATCGCGTGCGAGATTCCCTCCATACCGGCGGACAGCTTGGCAGTCTCGACGTCGTATTGTGTTGGCTGACGCTGCATCGACTCCATCCAGTCAACGGTGAAGCACTGCTCGTCCCGGACATAGACCTCGCGGGCGTTGATGGGCAGGATTTGTCCGTAACCGTGAGTGATGAACAGAGTGCGTTCCTGGTCCGAGAATCCGGTAATGTTGCCGACAGAGAAGCCCATGGTGATGTGGCGCTCGTAATCCGCCTTCCAGTCCTTCATGAAATACCCAATCTCCTTGATATCGATGCGAGTACATGGCACCTGCCATAAGCGTGCGTGCGATGGTTGACATCCTGCACAAGGCTCGCCCTTGTCGCATGTCTTCTTGAGGAACTTGCAGCGGAGACACGCGCGCAACTTCCGGATCTCGCTCGCCTGTTTACGCTGGTCTGGCTTGAGGGGGCCCTTTCTTTTGCCAACACGTTTCTCGGTCTCGGGCTTGCCGGTCTGGGACTGCTTGCGAACCTTGGTCTCGGCGGTCTTGGCGGCAATGGGGCTCTTGCGGGACGGTTTCCGACTCGGCGGTGAGGCAGATGTCTGAGAAGACCCAGCGGATCGAACGGGAGATGTTGACTTCTTGATCGGAACCGGGATCGGCCGTACCATTCCGATGGGGCTGGCTGCGGAAGGCGAACAAGATTCTGGCGAAGACTGACCACGAAGGACAACTGCGCTGCTGTTCGGGGAGGTACCGTGCATTCCAATGGAGCTGCTGTGACTGTGACTATGGCTGTGACTATGGCTGTGATTGTGGTTGTGAGTATGGCTATGGCCGTGGCCATGGTGATTATAGCAAGGCAAATCCATATTATTCTCAGAATTGGGAGAACCGATCGGATTCGTGATATCCACAAAGCTGCCGTATGATGTGGAATATGAAGATTCTGAAAGACTGCGATCGTGCAGTGTCTGGGTGGGGTTAACGAAAACACCTTGTTCGGGATACCCAAAGTCGAAAGAACGACGGTGGTCGATGGTGCTCCAGCCGTTGTCGCTACTGGACAGAGAGCGGACCTCCAGATAAGTATCGGTGGGGGAGCTGCTTTCAAGAACTGGGTGCGGGGCATAAGAAATTTCCGTAAGTCCGTTAGGGAATGTCATCAGATCCGCCTGGAAGTCCTGATACGTGAACGGTACCATGTCGACAGGTGCCGACATCGGCATATAATGACCCTCGAGCATGCCGGCACTCATCTGGCCCTGGCCAGACATGAGATCGACGGGCGAAGACTGCATGGGCATGCCATAACTAGTGGTAAACTGGGGCGCCGACGATGGGTCTTCCGAGGAATATGAGAGGTGGTGATGATGATGATGATGATGATGAGGGGTGTGTAGTGGTTGAAAGTGCCAATCGACCATGAGATTTGGATCCTGGGTCACCGACTGTTCCAGGGGGTGACCGCCAGTTTGCAACGGGGAGAGACCATGGGCCTCTTCTGCCCGTGGGGGCGCCTGATCTCCCACCATAGGCCATGATTGATGCTGAAGATAGCCTCTGGAGTCGTACTCGACGCCAATCAGGCCATCGCTGGATATATCGACATTGGACATGACTTTTTTGGAGTCAAAACGATCACGGGAAGTGAAAATGAAGGGTAGGTAAAGGACCAGCCTGGATAAGAGGACCTTCTTCAGAAGGGTGATACAACCATGAAGAAGAGGGAAAGTGAGGCGGTGGGGGGGACAAAGCAGCGGTGAGCGAAGACATGCGCTAGGGGAGTTGATTGTGGAGAGTGGAGAGGCTGGCTGATGGCGTGGAGGGAACGTTGATCCAGTGAATGATAAATTAATGCCACGGGGCTTTTTTAGTTTGCAGTAGTGTCAGGATAGGAAGGATTAGGATTAGGTAGATAAAGTACCCTGGGGCCTGGACGGTGTTTGCTGATCTCATGATCTCCCTAGATATTTGAGTAATTTCCTAAATAGGAAAGGGTTGCCTGGTTTTTCTTTTTCTTCTCTTCGTTCTATTTCATATACTAGTTCATCTACTAATTCCTGTTCGGAGTTCTCCGTATTATTTCATACCCTGTTCCATATCACTCTTTCTTCAATAGAGATATCACTACTCTGTATGTACCTTCAGACAAATCTATTTCTAAATACTTCTCCTGGGTTCAAACTGAGATCCTTATGACCAACAGGAAACCATCGGACCGTGAGACCGAACCCGGAAGATCAGTGGGGAGGAAAAAAAAAAAACCAAGTTGAGACAGTTCGTCTAACTGCGTGGCAATATGAAATAGTGAGATCTGACAGTGGGATCGTGTTATGTTGTACACCAAAATTAGTATGAGTCCTGATCCCACCCAATCAGCTCCCAGTCTGCCCACCACCATGCCCGTGATTTGTATCTCACGGCGGTTCCCTGAATGCACCATACCTCAAAAGGTAGTGAGTGGGCCAGTTCGGGATGCTGGCCATGCACTAGGGAGTTCCCCGTAGTAAAAAATTTGAAAACAGGAAAAATTACGGAGTAGAATTAGCCAAATTTTTTTTTTAAAAATATTTTTTTTTTGTCAAATGGTGCTAAGGTACGGAGTAGATTGCACGGACGGTGGGCACATCGGGAGAGTGTCAAGTTAGTATGAACCCTGGCACAGAGAGGATATTGGTCTACGGAATACTTCGTACATTGTATTTCTATCCTTTCGCACGAATACCTGGGGCATACCGCACATGCAGCAAGGGTGTCATGTAAGCCAATATGTGCATGGCGTCAGATCCATCA